TGGCTGCAGTGTGGTGGGGGGGGGGGGGGGGAGGGGGATGTGGAGCAAATTTTAACTCAGATTTTCAATACTTATCAGTAAACCCCCACCCATTTCAGCCTCCCAAATACACAAAGCACAGTTTGCTTGGTAACTCACCTTCACCGTTTCAAAATACACTGCAATTCAGACTTACGTGATCTCATAACCATTTCCAAATGCTGAACAATCCAATTGTGTTTTCCACTCAAGGGGCTCTTTGAAGACAAATGCTGCTTCCCGAGGATGTCTAGTGCTGAAGTCCTCCACAAACTTAATAATTTGATTTAAAAGAGATTCGTTCAAAGGGGTGATTTCGAGTGTGCCAGTTCCAGAACCAGCAGCAGTCCACTGAGCTGCCCTGGCCAATGCTGCTCCCATGGTATCAGTCAACTAGTACCAAACACCTTAGCAAAGAAACAGTCAGAGAATGACCAGCCTGAGCTCTCAAATGACAAATGCAATAAGCTGTGGATGCTATAATTTGGAATAAACATAGAATCATAGTTACTGAGGTTGGAAAAGACCTTTAAGATCATTAAGTCCAACTGTTAACCCAGCACCGCCAAGTCCATCACTAAAGCATGTGCCTACACTTCTTTTAAATCCCTCCACCACTTCACTGGGCAGCCAGTTATAACTTATTTTAAGCAAAAACTCCTGCTGTAGCACTTTGGGGGGCAGAAAATACAGAAACATATCTAGCAATGATTCTTTTAACTCAATCAAACCCTTGAAGTGGGGAAGGGAGAACTGAGGAAAACAACTCACAAATTTTAAAGAAATAGAAGGTGAAAACACAAGTTTTTTCATCTTAATTCGTTCCCGGTGCTATTAGAAACTCGGGGAGCTGCCAGCAGAAGGTCTCTGTTGTGGCTGTAAAAAAGGCACTTGGGTTCTCCTTGTGAAGTTGATCCCACTGTTAGAAACCGTATGTGCAGGTGGACAGACACATACAACCCCAGCAATGACCCTCCTCAGACACTTTCTTTAAACGTAGGAAAACGGGGGGTGTCAGACCTGCCCGCCAAGCCTGGAGAGGCCGGGAG